TCCTCCCTTTCAAGCTGGCTGGTCAGATCTATATTTGGTAGTGGAAAAAGAAGTATGACATGTATCATAAGCTTCAACTCAGTAGCAAAGGTTTATGCCAGAGGCAAACCTGCAGGCACAAATAAATAAATAAATTCAAGAGTCCTGAAATTATACTGGTGTGTAATGTCATAGTTGCTGTGGAAACCATCTTACAACTTTTTTAAGGTCTCAAAGAAAAGCCCTTTCTTACTGCTTTCTCTGCAGTACAATATTTTAGCTGGTTTAAACCAATGAATTAATTGAAAGTCTGAGAGAATTGGGGTTGTTCAACTTGGAGAAGAGAAGGCTCTGGGGAGACCTTAGAGCCCCTTCCAGTGCTTAAAGGGGACTTACAAGAAAGATGGGGACAGAATTTTTAGTAGGGCCTGCAGTAACAGGATAAGGGATAAACTGAAAGAGGGGAGAGTAAAACCAAATCTAAGGAAGAATTTTTTTATGATGAGAGTGGTGAGACACTGGAACAGGTTCTTCAGAGAGGTGGTGGGTGACCCATTCCTGGAAACATTTAAGGTCAGTTTGGACAGGGTCACCTGACCTTGTTGAAAATATCCCTGCTCATAACAGGGGTTGGACTAGATGACCTTTAAATGTCCCTCCCTAACCAAACCATTTTTGATTCCATTTATGGAATATTAAGAGTCTGAAACACAACATAAAGATCCTTCACAGTAGTTCTGGTTTAATGCTTTTGTTTTCAGAAAATAAAACACTTTTTCTTTCATAGTCCATGTTCAACCTTCTAGATAAAGTGATTTTGACAACAGGTGCATGTAAGTCTAGTTTTACAGCCCTTGTGTAGGTTCAGTTTTATTACATTTGTTCAGGTTCCTGATCCTTGTTAACGTAAAAAGCACTGCAATTCATTCAAATGTCACTGTTCATGTAAGGCGAGTTTTCTTGAATGAGTAAATTAACAGAATTGTGCCTCATTGCTCAGCTATGGACTGCTCTGTCATTCTTCTTTGAATAGTTTTGAGAAGATTGAAAAGCGGTTAAACTATAAAACATGGCAACTAAGTTGTATGACCACAGACAGATCTCTCTATTTTTGCATAAAGAGATAAGCTAGTATTCTAAATTAATGTGATAAATTCATAAAAATGCATATGAAAGCTGTTATATATCCTAGTACTTACATTATAATTGTAATGTGATATATTACACATTATTTTATGGTCGTTTACTATTGAAATAAGTACAACTACAACTAGAGTGTTTTTAATAAATTCTTAGAATACCAAAATAATTGCAGTGAAACAAAAGCAAAAGGTGCTGCCTTAAAAGATCAGGAGCAGAAAAAACTCCAGGCAAATTTAGTGAAGATAAGATGATAGAGTAGGTCATTAATGAAGGTCCTCTGGCATGAGGGGTAAGAAAAAGGCATGCACCCGTGTCCATGGGTTCCACAATTTATGGTCTGATCTGAGAACCATCCACCCTCAGGTCTGCCCCATGGGCACACCTCCCCAGAAACTTAGTCGAAGGTCCTAAGACCCCTTTATTCTTCATCTTCCTCTTCTTCACAGCACTTACAGACTTTGGAGCTTCTCCAAGGTTTCGGGCTTGAAGGTTGCTTTGACTGTGATGGTATCTTGTTGTTCAGGCCTGGGGTGCAAATGTTCTTAAACAAGTTGTATTTGCTATAGTTCTGTCTTGAAAGGAACCTAAATAAGCCTAAAGAATTTCAAAAATTCAATATGAAATAGGGAAATAGTGTTTGGTGAGTGTTAACTACAATTAATTATAAAATGTGACAGATTATACAGCCATATTAAAATCTACAAAAAGCTAAAAATCCTAAAAATTCGAAGGCACCAAGGAATACAGTCATTAAAATAACTCTTTCAGCTTTCTTGAAGCAACTGGAGAATATCCACACTGAATTATTTCTTCTTCTGATAGACATAACTTTATAAAAAACCAATACTCACTACAGTGAATTGGGGTTTTATTATTGCCAGTTTTGACTAATGAGGACTACTGAAAATAGGGGTGACCTACATTTAAAAACTTCAGTTTGAGATTAATGCATTGTTTTACAACACTTTTATGATGTTAAGACATTAAAGATATTGTTTAAAGGGAATTTTGAATATTTTAATACAATCTTTCACAACCTTTCACTGAAGTCTGAACTTATGCATTAAATTGAGAGAATTAAATAAAATTTAAAAAGGATTTTAGAAAAATAATTGCTGGGTTATCCTCAGAACTTACAATTCAAATATGCAAGAATGTAAATTATCAAGATAAGCAAGATCAGAAGAAAATGTCTAAAACCAGAGCAGGTTTGGTTTATTTTGATTTTTTTTCTTCTTTTTTTTAGTAAGGTTTCCTCTGTGACTGTCAAATATAAAGAATATTCTCATAGTATCCTACAGATTTCAGGTATATAAATCTCTACTGAAGAGCCATGTTCATGTCATGAATCTGTCATATCATAGAGTCATTTTTTTAAATAATCTCACAGAGTTTCACCTGTGAGTGGGTAATAGGACAAAAACGGGAGCTTTAAATAAGATAATTACAAAACAGTTGTAAAACTGTTGCTTGTTGCATAAAAGTATTTTATGGTTAAATTTAAGACGATGTAGATCTACAAAACCAATAATTTTCCCCCATTTAAGGAGGACCAGATTCATCCTGCAGTTTTACTCCTCTTTCTGTATTTAGACCATAAATATTATACTGCAGTTAGTAATTTACCTCTACAACTAAACCTAAGGGTTTTCCTGGCCTTTTTTTTTTATTATTTTGCAGAAAGCAAAGTAAATGTTGATTCAGGCAGCATTTGGTCAAGGTCCTGCTTCTTTGCAGAAGTGGAACTAATTATATACCTTTCCAAAATATTATTGTCATTCTATACCATCTTACCTAATAACATTTCTGTTGCTGAGCTATTTCTGTGTTGATGACTGACAGAATGGAAAGTCAAGCATGAAATAGGGAAGCCATCCACAGCATTGGTAGGTCTTCTTGAAGTCCTTGAGCTTGTTCATATTGCTGTCTTCAAAGGTTGTTTTTAGCAGTTATGAGAGGAAAATCCCTCTTATCCCTCTTTATTCATTCAAAATTGTCCCATGTCTACAGAAATCAGGGTCTTCTGAAGCAGTTTTTAACAACAGACTACATCCAACTTTTTTCAGCTAACCATAGAATTGTAGAATTGTTAAAGTTGGAAATTGCCTCTAAAATCATTGAGTCCAGTCATTCCCCCAATACTGTCATGTTCACCACTAACCCATGTCCCCAAGTGCCACATTCACATGGCTTTTAAATCCATCCAGGGATAGGGACTCCACCACCTCCCTGGGCAGCTGTTCCAAGGATGGACAACTTTTTCATTGAAGAAATTTTTCATGATAACAACCTAAACTTCCCCTGTGCAACTTGAGACTGCCTCTTCTCTGTCTAATTGATGTAGCAGGTCACTGACCATTTTCTCTTGTGTTATAGGGGCTTCATTCTGCTCTGCATCCCTGTCTTCCAGCTCAGAAGAAAAACTAGTCCTGTTATTAAAGACTGAGATAAAGAAGGCATCAAGTACCTCAGCCTTTTCCTCATCCTTGGTGACAATCCCTCCCTAGATCAAATAAGGGATGGAGACCTTCCCAAACCCTCCTTTTGTTGCTAACGTCTTTATACAAACAGTTTTTATTGTCTTTAAAGGCAATATCCAGAGTAAGTCCCTGTATTGTATTTTCAGCAGACAGATGCTAAGTTGAAGTGCCCCACATGAACAGGGACCAGCAATCGTAACATTTCTACCAACTGCTTATAGAATATTTCTTGCGCTTCTCCATCCTGGCTGCCTTATCTGTAACACATTTCTACCAGAATATCTGCCTTGCTGGCCTTTCCCCTAACCTTTACCAAAAAACGCTCAACCCTACCCTCGTCATCATTAAACTCCAGGTATTAAAATACTCCCAACATTAAGAGTTACCCCACCACCTCTCCTTCCTTGCCTGTCTCTTCTGAAGAGTTTATAGCCACTCACTGCAGCCAAATGCCAAAGTGTTTATTACTCAAAGGTATTATTCGCCTCTGGACAAAGCTGAACACTTGAAAAATGTTTTCTCAAAGAACAAAGTATTCACCAAATAATCATTTTTCTCTTTCCCACACCAAAACTCTGTTTATCCAGTCAGAGATACTTTGCTATTGTCTCATTTTGCACAGAGCATTTTCTTTCAGACTTTATTTTTTTTTCTTTCATTTCTACCATGAAAGCTTAGCACTTTTATAGGAATAAGAAAATACCAGACAAAAACCTCTGGGAAATCTTTCAAAGTGGTGTGCGGAGACTGAGACAAGCTTCGTGCTGATAGACTTGCACACTGCTTTGAAATTGTCCTTCTACTTCTTACATCTGCTGTGGTTTTGGCAAGGGGCATCCACCTTAACTTTTTATTCCTTTAAATCTTTAAAAAAAACAAAAACAAAAAAACCCATATATTTGTTTGCATGCTTGAACAAACCAGAGGAAAGCGTGTAGCCTCCAGAAATCCATGTCTGCCTGTATTTCCCTTGGCAATTAAAAGCACATCAGAATTCATGCTTTTAAAGTTTTTTATCTTTGCTTTCTGCAACTTGAACTGATAGAAGCATGTACTTTTACATACAGAATGTAAAGATTGTCACATGTAACTCAGTCGGTATTTGGACAAACACATCTCAAGCTAAAGGTTCTCTTCTTCAAATGAACTTATTGTATACCAGTGTGTAGGTGTTTGTGTGTGTGTTTGTGTGCAAGCTTATACCTATGTGTGCAATTTCAAAATTATTTCAAAATTAATATTTTGGAATGTAGATTATACACCTTCCGCTATCCCAAAGGTTGCTCCAAGCACTGCCCAATCTGGCTTTGGACACTTCCAGGGATGGGGCAGCCATGACTTCTCTGGGCAACCTGTGCCAGGGTCTTACCACCCTCAGAGGGAGGAATCTTCTCTCTAATAACCCATCTAAAATTTTGGTTAATGGTGCTGTGGATTGAACAGAGAGAAAGAAACCAAGAGGAGTTCACTGCTGCAAATTGTTGTTCTACAGGTAGACACAGCAATGGCAAACCTGCAACAGAGAATGATGAAAAGATTGAATGAGGAAGAACTTGACTGAACAACCTGCATTTTCTACTTATAACTTCTCCAATTCGTTGTCATGGAATGAAAATCGAATTTTCATACACTATTTACATAAAAATAATTGCTGACGGTAGAAAGTAATGTTGATCGGTGAGTATTTAAACATTTCAAAATGCCGCTGAAAGTAAAAATCACTGTTTCCTTAACTAATGCTCATATCAGATTTATATGAATGCATAAATGGACAGTTTACATAATGTAATTTAGACTATAAACTGCTACATAGTCTTATCTTCGGTATTTCAAGTGTTTAGAAGAAAAAGAAATTGTATCTTCAGCTGCATACATTTTACTTCATTATATTATAACATATGAGTACAAATACTCATCGTATTAAGCGTGTCGTGGTATTTGATGTACTATCTCAGGTAACTTTCTAACAGGTACTTAAATTCAATAGTTTAATTGATCATTACTAAAACCCTACAGTGAATAACTATATAGAGAATGTAGCCTGTGTAATAAGATTTATGTAACAGGAATATAATACATCTATTTCATCAGAGATGAAGTTAGCAAAATTCAATCTATCATCAATATATTTGCTGGCCTGAGATGAAAATGCATCTCTTACTAACCTTGGTTGCGTAGCTTTTCTCTTCTCCAATCACCCAGGCAATGTGTGACAGCAGGCTTTCAATTTTTGGATATGTTGGAGTAACAATCTAAAATGTTTATTTAAAGAGTGCATTAAAAGTCCAAAGGTCTAAGTGCCTTGATTGCCCTTCATTTTTAATGAAATATTAATGAAAGGAATTCAATTTCTGATTGTACTGCATGTGATTTAAAACTTGAAACAAGTCTTTAAATTAACAAAGATGTTCATCATTCATGGCAAATTCAATGGATCAAGAACCTTATTTTAATAATATTAAAAGCCTTTCATATATTTTGTTTTCTCTTACTTTATTTAAAAGTCCTGGTCCCTTCCTCACAGACTCCACAGGGTTGTACTTTCCTCACCCTTCTCACAAACCTCATTAGGATTCAGGAATTTATAATTAACAAAGCAAGAAAGTGATGAAAATTCCAATGTATTAAAATTTTTTGTGTTTGGAAAAATACTGTCATGTAACTTACAGTGAGGCAAGAAGTGAACAGTCTGAACACTCTTTCATGTACAACTCAACCTGAGTGCAGTCAAGTTTTTTTCTGCCTGAGAGCCTGAAGTTGTGTGTTTCTGCAATGAAAGTAAGAAAACAGAGATATGGTCAAAATGTTGTGTTGCTGGAGATATATAATTCTCCCCAAGAAACTCACCAGTTCATCTTATTTATTTTTTGTTATGAAATGGATTGCAACAACTTAAATATCAACTTTTTCACGTAAGAAAATGGACTAATATTCTATTTTATTAAAACAAGTCTTGAATTTTTAAAGTCACTGGAAGCTGTATATTTCTTCATGTTTGCACATGCATATTACAACATGACCTTTAAGAAAAAATTACTTCAGCAAAAAAGTGCAAACAAACAAACAAACAAACAAAAAACCCTCAAGGAAAAGTTGTATTGTGCTGTATGGCTCAAGAGATAGACCATGGAAAATCCTAGGAGGATTCTCAAAATAGAGACTGACATAAGAACTGAGGCTTCAAACCCAACAGAAGTTTTTACAGATCAGATCCACACGTTTACCTTTAAATGGAACTTGGAGTGAGAAGCAACCAAGAAATCCAGTTAAACTGTGAATTTGTACTACACCGAATTATTATTTTGGGAATAAATAAAATAATTTGAAAATTACATGACAAAATACAAATAGGTCTGCCTATGCCTCCATCAATAAACAGCTGATGGCAGGAAACTCCAAATATTGCAGCTTATAACTCTGACTGGAAACAAGACAGAAAATTAGACCCATAATTGGTCATCTTAGGCATCGCTTATTCCTCCGGTGATATTTCTCCTTCCTCACTGCATCCTCAAGGTATTAACACCTTACTGAAGTGCACAATCTTCCTATGCTGATGTAAATCCTATGCTTTGTCATCTCAAGTAACCCTTTTTTGTAATTTATATCACTACAGACAGACACACTTTGAAAAGCTCCATGGCAGGAGAAGGAGGAAGGAGGAGATGTTGCAACAACCATGACTTTTCTAGGCCTCTTAATACCTGTGTAAACAAATTCAAAGCATAAATGATTTGTAATTAGTGTTTAATTAATTATTTATAGTTGTATTCAATGCAAAAGCATCCAAGAAGATAAGAAGGGGTCAAAATACTTAGAAAGCAGAGGAAGAAAAAAAAAAAGGAACTGTTGAATCCAGCCCTTCAAGAATGAGCTGTACGTTGGTCAAGGAGAAAAGGATTCCATGCCAGATTGAAAGGTTCAGAGGGTCCCTGAAGACCCAACCATTAGGAAGTAAGTGAAAAAAAAAACAAAACAACAAGAAAGTGGCAATAAGACAAGTGCTTCAGAGGAAACTGGAAAAGGAATAGTTGTGGGGTTTTTTAATTTATCTGTCTTAAAATCCTGGCAGTTAAATGAATTTGGTAAGGATTGCCATGGAACAAGGGTAAATCTGTCCCACATCCACAGCCAACAATTAAAGCAAGTCAATTCATGGCACATGTCATATAAACTCAGATCAGTGAGTAAACAGTTTTCTGCTGAAGTGTCTCACTGCGATGGCATAGCCTCAGACTTTCCGGTTCCTGCAAAGAGAAACCTAACCATCCACAGATCACTCAGTGGCAAAATGCCACTGAGGAGAGTTGCCTGCAGGTAAAATCAATCCTGTGATAAACTGGCAGTCAGGGAGGAGATATTATAGCAGTCTGGGGCTATTTAGGTGAGATTTTGCCAATAGTTGAGCAGCTGGACACTGGATGAAGTGAACAGGAAGATGTTTAACATCTCCACAAACAGCATTAGTCAGTAGTCAATAGTCTGTCAGGGAAGAGACAGAGATCAAATACATCTGCATCCTTAGAAATGAGAGATGACCCTGGAAACGTTTTATGTAAGTATAAAATAAATTTAAATAATATTAAACTCCTGAATACATGCTGAAATTTATATTCCCAGTACACAGTAAGAGCAATAATTATTTATCTTATAGTAGTACAGTGTAACTTGATATAGAAACAAGAACTTGGAGACACTCAGAATTTCCATTTCTTCTCTGCTTTTTAATGCTTTTATTTTGAATATTAGATTTTTTGTATATCTCAGTGCTGTCACACATCTGACCACTTCCCAACTGAATCAATATGAAGTTCCAGTGATTGAGAAATCAGAATTTCATCAGCCTATCAATGAATGTTCATCAGATGTTTGTGAATTGTCTTGTCCAGTGGCAACATGTAAATTGCCATGTAAACAGCATAATCTGTGATTTTAAACAAAACAAAATAGCTAAACTAAACTAAACTAAAACAAAACAAAACAAAAACCTTTTCCTGCATAGCACTGTTTATTGCTATGGCCATGTATCTAAAAGAAATTGACTTCAAAATTACATTTGTCATGTTAAAAAGAAAAAACAACACAACCCCCCCCACAAAACCAAAAAAAAAGCTCAACTCAGCACAACAAAAAACAAAGAGATCCCCCAAAAAACAAACAAACAAAAAAACCGCAACCCAAAACAAAACTAGAACATGCAGATGTGGTCTGAAATGAGATCTGAACACATGTTCTCTGTTGTGTTTTACATCCTCTTTAGATTGTGATGAAAATAGTTGAAGACAGATTTTGGCCATGTGTTACTTGCCATTTCTTGTGTTCTTCAACAGGTTGAAGAACAAGCAGCTAAAACCACACAGATAGAGGATGTGGTTACTTTTGGAAAAGGAGTGAGGAGGACACACCACCACCATGGAACACTCCTGGCTGGAGCAGAGGGGCTGGAAAGATGAAAAAGGTCCTGGGGGTGCTGGGGACAGCAGGTGGTCATGAGCCCAGGTGTGCCCAGGTGGGCAAGAGGACAATGGTCCCTGTGGTGTCCCAGGCATGGTGTCTTACAGGCCCAGGGCAGTGCCCGTCCCTGTGCTGGGCACTGCTGGGGCCACACCTCGAGTGCTGGGTGCAGTTCTCGGCCCCTCAGACAAGAGAGACATTGAGAGGCTGGAGCGTGTCCAGGGAAGGGAACGGAGCTGGGGAAGGGTCTGGAGCACCAGGAGTGGCTGAGGGATCTGGGGGAAACCAGCCTGGAGAAAAGGAGGCTCAGGAGGGACCTTCCCACTCTCTGCAACAACTTGACAGGAGGGTGGAGGCAGGGAGATGTTGGGCTCTGCTTCCAGGGAACAAGGGACAAGACAAGGGGAAACGGTCTCAAGCTGTGCAGGGGAGGGTCAGGTTGGACATCAGGAGGAATTTCTTGATGGAAAGGGTGGTCAGGTGTCGGAAGGGGCTGCCCAGAGAGGGGTTGGAGTCCCCATCCCTGGAGGTGTCCAATGAACAACTGGATGTGGCTCTCAGTGCTCTGAGCTGGTTGACAAGGTGGGGATAAGGCACAGGGTGAACTCCATAACCTAGGAGGTCTTTTCCAGCCTCAATGATTTTGTGATTTTGTGAGTACAATTTAAGATACAAAAATGTCCATGGAGGGGTATATGCAAACACACTCCTGTGCATGAGTTACTGACATTCACTTAGTCCTTTCTGAGGGCTGTAGCTGATATTTATCAAAATTCCTTGCATCAAGGAGGGTAGAATGGGTTGGCATACCACACCTCTGCTTTTCTATTTTAAGATTAGGAACACTGTGATATTTTGTGGGCAACAGTTCTTTTTGTGTTTCAGGACCACAGTGGGACTGAAAAAATTCCAGAAGACTTTATTCTGGCACCTGCAGAGGCTCCAAGGTCTTTATAACACCTATGGAGACATCCTACAGCACCAAAACATTTGCTTTATTGTATTTAAAGAATTTTTGATTCTCCTTTTTTTCCATGTATTTTTTTCGATAAAATATGTTTTAAAGTCTAAATCTTTCACTCTCATCAGACAAATCTTTTACTCTAATGCCATTAAGACAAATGGAAAATTGTTTAGAAGACTAATTAGTTCAACAAATGTGCATAAAGTGTAATTGGTCTTCAGTGTCTTCAAATTGCAGGTAACTCACTAGTTTAACACTCAGACTATTTGCAGAGTCTCTGAGACTAGCAGTTAGTAGTCAGATCTATTCTTTTGTTAAAAGTGAAAATGAATTACTAAGAGCAACAAATGAAAATATACAAGCCCCAGATACTGTGTTGGCTGTCTCTTAATAGGTAAAAATGGGCTATAAAGCTGAGGTAGTTCAAACCTGACTGTAATGGAACAATTATTAGCAAAAATTTTCTTACCTTTCCAGAGAATAAAATTTGCTTTTGAGGAGCATTTCAACAAAAATATGAAGTGTATTAAATAATTTAATCTAAGCGATAACTGTGGAAAAACTAGATTTTAACCAATTCAGAATAGAGGTACTTCTTTATGTTTTTTCAACTTGTCTGATTTTAGCGTGCAGAGGACAATGGGTGATGTACTGGAGGGATGAGAGAAATTCTGTATTTAGAGAAAATAAATAGTTTTGTGGAAGATCTTGGGTTGAATATTATATTTTGCTTAGAGAATTAAAATTTAAAATTGATGTGGATTTTCTTTAAACTCACATATTTATGCTCGTTCTTCTATGTTGCTGCCTTTTGTTTCAAATTATGAAAAACTGAATTTTTTTGTCACTGTATCTGCTTACTGATTCAATATTTCTAGCAGCAAAGCCATACTGCAGTCTTGGAAAACAAAGAAGCCAGTATTTCACCCTATTTTAATGTTCAATTAGATACAAATCAGGTTGTTATAACTACTGAAAGGAAACAACCTTTAAGAATTAGGTATTAGAATCTCAGATATTTAACCTGATTTCATAATGCAAAAGTTCCTGGAAAGACACGGCATTAAAAAAACTTATTAGCATATTTATATTTGCTTCTGCTATGTGAAATATACACTTTTTAAATGAAATATTGTTATTAGATTTACAAATATGTTACTGTGTTAACCAACAACCTGCTGATTCGTTCATGAGGTTTCCTCTTCTGAAAGGACACATTACAACTAATTCTGTGTAATTTATTGTATAAAAGCTTAATTTTTCTGTGTATTTCCAAAACAAATAATAGTGGTTCAAGTAACGAGCACATATGATTAGCGGTGTCTGACAAAACAATTAATATGAGAATTTTTTTTCCTTGAGTCTCCTAGAACAGAGCTACTTAAACTGTCAGCAGATTGTAAGAAAACTAGGTAAATTAAAATATCTGATTTTTTTTTTCAAGGTTTAAAAAATTGCAGCATATTTGCACTTGCAACACTGTTCCCATTTCCTATCAATTTTTTTTATCATAATGTTAAGCTTCTATTCATCTTTATTGGTTATTAAAACTAAAAAGGAAAAAATAATTTTATTCTTACTGACTATAATAACCTAATTAACAGTTCAGTGGAAATATCTATCCCATGTATTCCTTAGG